AGTCAACCAAGGACTACCCTGACGAAGTGATCAACTTCATGCGCTCGCACCCTCTGATGTACCACTCCGTCTATCCGGCCCACCGGCAGCCTCTGGTTGTGCGCACCAACGTCAACTACCGCTTCACCACCATCGCTGTTGACCAGGTGGACGCGGCAGATGGGCGCTATGAGGTGCTTTTCCTGGGCACAGGTACCCACGCCGCGCACCGCAGAGAACGCAGCATGCTCCAGCGCGGCCTCACAGGGCACGGGCACTGCCGGGGCAGGGTGCCTCTGCTGGCACCTCTGCTCCAGGGTGGAGCAGGGCGAGGGGCTGAGACCCCTGTGCCATGGACCCTGGGAGTGTCGTGGCCTGTCCCCTGTCCTGGTGCCCATCTCAGGACAGCGCCATCCAGGCTGGTCTATCCGCTGTCTCGGTGTCCATCCTGGGACATCCAGCCCCATCCTTTCCACGGCCCAGGCCCAACTCTCCTGCCTCATTCAGGAACACCGTTGTCCAGCCCGGTGCTTCCCCTTCCTTATTGTCCACCGTGATCTATCCTGGTCTATCCCAGTGCCTATCCCAGTTGCTGTCCCCCTGTCCTGGGCAGTGGCAGCTCCTAGCTGTGAGTGGTGACCTGAGTGTCACAGCACAACCAAGACAGATGAAGATGGGCATGGGGGGTCCTTCCTGGCCCCATCAAGGACCCCATTCCCAGGAGGGGAGGGCACGGGTGCCCAGCTGGTGGCACTGAGGTCCAGGCACCCTGGTGTCTTGCAGATCGGGGCACGGTGCAGAAAGTCATTGTGCTGCCCCGGGACGACATGGAGACAGAGGAGCTGATGCTGGAGGAGATCGAGGTGTTCAAGGTAAGGGCTGGGTTATCCTACAGCTGCTGCTGAGCATCCTTTGCTCACCCCATGCCCAGAACTGATGGGACACCACCGCCACCAAGTGTCATTGTCCCAACCCTGGAGCTTTTGGGACACCAACCAGTCCCATGGATAGTTCCTGGGAGACCTGCAACATTGTCCCTCTTCCTGCTGATTCTTGTAGCAGCCCCCCAGCTATTGGTGTGGGCCTGGGGGATGCACTCTGTACTTCACTCCATGTCCTTCACTCCTGCTCCCATCTAGGTGCCAGCACCCATCAAGGTGATGACCATCTCCTCCAAGAGGGTGAGTGATGTGTGGCTAGATTTGGGGACTAGGACATCCTGGATGCCTGTTGCCACCATAGTATGACACTGAAGAACCCCACGTTCCCCTGAGTGCCCCTGAGTGGCTCTGGGATGCACGGTCCCCACTGCTCCCAGTACTGGGCACAAGGCCATGTGGCCAGGGGGCATCTTACCCTGTCCTCTCTGTTCCCCCAACAGCAACAGCTTTACGTGTCCTCAGCCGTAGGAGTGACCCACCTGGCCCTGCACCGGTGTGATGTATATGGAGAAGCCTGTGCTGACTGCTGCCTGGCCCGCGACCCATACTGTGCCTGGGATGGCAAGGCCTGCAGCCGCTACTCAGCATCCTCCAAGAGGTGGGGATCTGGGGGAGGGCATGGGGGCCCAAGAAGGTACCCCAGGTCACCTCCTGCCTCCTCTCAGGCGGAGCAGGCGGCAGGACGTCCGGCACGGCAACCCCATGCGCCAGTGCCGAGGCTACAACTCCAACGGTGAGTGGGCATGGCATGACCCCAGAGAGGGCAGAGGGATGGGGCAGGACCTGGGGAAGCATGAGTGATAGGAGGTGGGAGAATGTGGGCAATGGGATGAGTGGGATGAGTGGGTGGTGGTGGCTTTGAGGGCTGGTGGGCGTCTGGGTGGATATATTGGAAAAGTATGGGATGAATTGGAAAAGCACCGTGGGGTGGGCAGGTGGGTGGGTGGATGGATGGATGGATGGATGAGGTGAGTGTGTGGATGAATGGAAATACTGGAGATTGAAGACGGATGGATGGATGCATGGATGGATGGACAGATGGATGAGCGGGTGGGTAGATGGATGAAAGGATACAGTGGGGAGAAAAAAAAGCACAGATGAGTGGATAAATGCTTTGGAGAAGTTGACCATGGTTGGATGAATACCCTGGGAGAAGGAAGAGCACATATGGATGGCCAAGTGAGTAGATGAATGAATGGAAATGGTAGATGAGTGGGTGAGTGGGTGGATGGGTGGATGGATGGGTGGGTGAATGGATGGATATACTGGGGAGAAAGAAGAGCACAGATTGATGTATGGATGCTTGAGAGGAGGATGACCATAGACAGTGCATACACTGGGAGAAGGAGAAGGAGGAGGAGGAGGTTGACCGTAGATGGATAAATGGATGGATAGATTGGAGAGAAAGAAAAGTACAATTGTATGGCTGGATGCTTCAGAGTAGGATGGCCGTGGTTGGGTGTCTACACTGGGAAAAAGAAAAGCACAGATGAATGTATGAACGGGTAGATGAATGAATGGAAATGTGAGAGGTTGAAGATGGAGGGATGGGGAGGTGGGGGAGTAGATGGATGCGGAGGGGAGAAAGAAGAGCACAGATGGATGATTCAAAGAAGGATGACCGTGGATGGATGGATAGATACATTCAGGAAAAGGAAGAACACGTCTGGATGCTTCAGTTGCATGGGGCAGAGCAACATGTTCGGCAGGGAGATGGGGCCTGGGGACGAGCGTGTGTGCTGACTGCCATGTCCTGCTCCTGCAGCCAACAAGAACACGGTGGAGGCGGTGCAGTACGGGGTGGAGGGCAGCACCGCCTTCCTCGAGTGCCAGCCCCGCTCGCCACAAGCCACCGTCAAATGGCTGCTGCAGAAGGACAACAGCGACCGACGGAAAGAGGTAGGAGCCGGGTGCTGTGCACGGCGTCCAGCCGGTCGGCATCCAGCTGAGCCCCTCTGTCCCCGCAGCTGCGCACAGAGGGCGGCCGGGCACTGCGGACAGAGCAGGGCTTGCTGCTGCGGGCCCTGCAGCTCTCCGACAGCGGCCTCTACTCCTGCACCGCCACCGAGAACAACTTCAAGCACACGGTGACCAAGGTGCAGCTGCGCGTCCTGGCCGCCCGCGCCGTGCACGCCGTCCTGCTGCAAGGCGAGCTGCCCCCTGCCGCGCTGCCGGGAGCCCCAACGCCGCGCTACCAGGACTTGCTGCAGCTGCTCACCCGCCCCGAGCTGGGACTCCTCGACCAGTACTGCCAGGGCTTCTGGCGACCGCCGGCCCCCGGCCCCCCCGAGCCGCTGGCTGCCCTCAAAGCCAAGGAGCTGCAGGACCAGAAGAAGCCACGGAGCCGCCGGAATCACCCGCCAGAGAGCTGCGGGCACACATGAACCCCTCCCCAGGGACTTTGCTAGCACAATGGTCTATTTTTCCCTCCTTTTAATATTAAAAAAAAATATCTATAAATAAATAAATATATATATATACCCACACCCATGCAGGCAGACACGCACGCATGCTCACACCCCTGCCCCCTCCCGCCGTCTCCTGCCGGCGGTGGTATTTATTTGCAGGTTGTACATAGTCACTGGGGTGACACCAACATCACCTCCCGGCACTGGGGACGGTGGAGGACCTGGGGGCGGCTGCGGACCGCGCCTCTCGTCCCTCCCCTTCCTGGAGTTCCGTGAGGCTCTGGGTCCTGGTGTGATGGGCGGTCCTGGTGCAGGACGGGGGGATGCTCTTCGGGGTATGGTGCTGTCACACACAGAGGGACGAGCCAGTGATGGGAGGGGACAAACGAGCAGTGAGAGGTGGCACTGGGTGAGCTCAGTCTCAGTGCCTCAGTTTCCTCTTCTGGTTATTTTGGAGCCAAAGCTGGGAGGAGGGTGGGCTGCAGGCACAGAGACATGGCCTTGACCCCTGCTGGGGACAGGACACCGGCCACACGATGGGGACACGGCCAGGAGGGGTAAGATGGGGCATCCTGCCCATCGCTGGGGTTGTAAATAGTTGTAGGGGAGGAGTGCAGGGGTGGCCAGTTGTCCCCCCTCCCCACAGCCTGCAGCACGCCCAAATAAACACTGGCTTTGGGACAGATGCCTGTGTGTGCTCTGTTGGGGACAGGGACATTGCTGAGCTCTGGGGGTGGGATCCAGGAGAGCACATGGTGGGGTGCTGGGAACATCGCAGGGTGATGGAGGGGACTCTGGGCACGGGGACGTGACGCAGGAGGCCATGGTGGGCGCTGTGGGGGCACTCAGAGTTGCCACTGGGGGCATTGCAGTCACTGCCGGGGGGACTGCGGTCAGGCATGGCCAGACTCGGACAGCAGTGGGGGTACTGGAGGCAGTACTGATAGCACTGGGGGGATGGTACAGCTCTGCGCTGGTCTCTGCTGGACTGTTCTGGTCTGTACTGGTCTGTACTGGGCTGTGCTGGTCTGTACTGGGCTGTACTGGGTTGAGCTCGTCTTCGCAGAGCTGTGCTGCGCTATGCTGGGTCGCTCTGCCCTCTGGCGGCCAGACTCGGCACTGCAGGAGCCCCGCGGAGAAGTGGGGGGGGGCACAGGGGACAGCGTGGGATGCTGGGGCTGGGGGACGGGGGCTGTACTGGTGGACACGGGGCTCTGGGACACGGGGGTGCTTTGGTGGCAATGGGGGGACACTGTGGGGGACACTGCCGGGGGGCGGGACGTGGGGTGTCCTTGGTGGTGTGGGGTGAGTCCTAGGGGCAACGGGGGGCTGGGGCAAGGAGCACTGAGAGGAGCTAGGGACATTATGAGGGTCTTGGAAAGGGCTTGGGACATGGGAGTGGGGATGACACTTGGGGTACAATGACATCAGACAGGGGTTCTTGAGGGTACAACATGAGATGGTTCACATGGGGGATGTGGGGATGGCGGGGAACATCCCCACTATAGGGGCATACCCATGGCATACCCATGGCTTGGGAGCAGCAGGGACATCCCTGGAGTGAGGCCATAACAGTGGCTGGGAACTGTGGGGACATCCCTGCCAAGGGGCATAGCCACAGCCTGGGGACATTGGCCACCAAGTCTGGGCGGGGACAGCTGGGCGCCCTCTCCGCAGAAGCGCTGACGCCGGGAGCCAGGGGATTGCTGAGCTCAGCCCGGGGCAGATTTCGGGGCTTTATCCGGAGCCTGGCTTAAGCCGCGCTCCTTGTCCCCGTCCTTGGCCCACTTGGGTGGCAGCGGCGGCCGCAGTCGGGCGGTGGGCGAGCGCTGGAGGCGGCGGGGGGCTGGCGCACGCTGCCCATCCTGGTGCTGACCTCCACCGAGCGGGCGAGTCGGCAGGCGGCAGAGGCGAGGATGGGCGCAGGGGCCAGTGCTGAGGAGAAGCACTCCCGTGAGCTGGAGAAGAAGCTGAAGGAGGACGCTGAGAAGGATGCCAGGACCGTCAAGCTGCTGCTGCTGGGTAGGTGGGCACAGCTCCGGGGGGTGCTTGAACCTCCCCCCGTGGCATCCTCATGCTCCAAAACCCAGTAGCTGCTCAGACTCCTCGGTACCCCTGAAACTCACCCCACCCAACACCCCCACAGCACCAAGCACCCCAACTCCGCCCCAGCACCCCCAGATCCCTCCGTATTCCCCCTAGAAGCTGCCCTTGCATCCTCCCAGCACTGCACGTCCCTCTCCCAGTGCCCCCTAGTTCCCCTACTGTTACCCCATGCCCAGGCCTTGGCCACATCCCCCTGCAATGCCCCACTTTTGTGTCCCCATCTCCACCGCATCCTCATCTTCATCCTCACCTCCAGATCCCCCAGCACACCCTTGACTGAGCCCCCAGCAGCACTACCCCAGTGCCCCTCAGACCTAGCTGCCTCTCTCCCTGTTTCCTCATGTCCCCCTGTGGTGATCACGGCTGTGGTCACCACTGTGCCCTCACTCTGTCCCCACAGGAGCAGGGGAGTCAGGGAAAAGCACCATCGTCAAGCAGATGAAGTAAGTCCCATGGGCAGCACCGTGCCTGCTACCTGTCCCATACCACAGCCAGGGGAGCATCCACCCCTCAGTGCCCACACTGCAGCAACGAGTTCCTCTGCTTTATTTTCTAGCTCCATAAATGCCCCCACCCTATAGTTTAGCTGCATGGGTACCTCCATCCTATAATTCAGCCCCGTGGGTTCTCCCATCCTATAGTTCAGCCCCAAGAGTGTCCCTACTCTACAGTTCAGCTCCATAGAAGTCACCACTCTATTATCAACCCGCATGGCTACCCCTACTCACCAGTTCAGTGCCCACAAGTGCCCCTACCCTGTAACTTAGCCCCATGAGTGCCCTCAGCACCCCACTCAGCCCCATGCCCCCATCTTGGCCAGGATCATCCACCAGGATGGTTACTCACTGGAGGAGTGCTTGGAGTTCATCGCCATCATCTACAGCAACACGCTGCAGTCCATGCTGGCCATCGTGCGTGCCATGAGCACGCTCAACATCCAGTACGGTGACTCAGCCCGCCAGGTGAGGGGCCCCCAGCACGGGGTGTGGAGCTGTACCCTGGTCCCTGTCCCCACTGAGCCCCCCTCCCTTGCAGGATGATGCCCGCAAGCTGCTGCACCTCTCGGACACCATTGAGGAGGGCACCATGCCCAAGGAAATGTCGGACATCATCGGGCGGCTCTGGAAGGATGCAGGCATCCAGGCCTGCTTTGACCGGGCCTCTGAATACCAGCTCAACGACTCGGCAGGATAGTAGGTGCAGGATGGGTAGGTGGGTGGGGGCACCCTTGGTGGGACATGCCTCACACTGTGCCCACCAGCTACCTGTCGGACCTGGAGCGCCTGGTGACCCCTGGCTACGTCCCCACCGAGCAGGACGTGCTGCGCTCCCGTGTCAAAACCACCGGCATCATCGAAACCCAGTTCTCCTTCAAGGACCTCAACTTCAGGTAGGGGCTGAGCCCCAGAGTGCTGGGGCAGGGGGCGTGGGGGGGATGCTGAGCCCCCTGGTCCTGCCCTGCAGGATGTTCGATGTGGGAGGGCAGCGCTCGGAGCGCAAGAAGTGGATCCACTGCTTCGAGGGGGTGACGTGCATCATCTTCATCGCGGCGCTCAGCGCCTACGACATGGTGCTGGTGGAGGATGACGAAGTGGTAGGCAGCCGTGCCAAGGGGTACCAGGGAGCTGTGGAGCTGCGGGGGGGCTGATGGGGCTGTGTCCTCCCACAGAACCGCATGCACGAGAGCCTGCACCTCTTCAACAGCATCTGCAACCACCGCTACTTCGCCACCACCTCAATTGTCCTCTTCCTCAACAAGAAGGACGTCTTCCTGGAGAAGATCAAGAAGGCTCACCTCAGCATCTGCTTCCCCGACTACGATGGTGAGGGCAGTCACGCTCAGTCCCGGGTGGGGAATTTGGGTGCTACCATCCTTTGTCAGACACCCACCAGGTGTCCCCAGCACCCTAAGCACCCAGCCAAAGGTCTGAGCTGTGGGGTGATGGGAGGGGAATACAGGGGCTGTGGGGTGCTGGTGACCCACGGCCCTGCTTGTAGGTCCCAACACCTATGATGATGCTGGCAACTACATCAAGCTGCAGTTCCTGGAGCTGAACATGCGGCGGGACGTGAAGGAGATCTACTCGCACATGACCTGTGCCACTGATACTGAGAACGTCAAGTTCGTCTTCGACGCCGTCACCGACATCATCATCAAGGAGAACCTCAAGGACTGTGGGCTCTTCTGAGCTCCAGCCCCTACAGCCCCCACCACAGCCCCCACCCCCGACTGGTGCCCCTGCCCACCCTCTGCCACCGCTTCTGCTTGTTCCCAAACCCCAGCAATGTGACCTGAGCAGCTCCAGAGCATCCCCCCAGCCAGCCCCCAACCTGCATGCACCCCTGGGTGCTGGGGGGCACTGGGTGACACCTGAAGTCCTGAGGCATCCCTTAGTGCTGAGGGGTGCTGGATCCCCCTGGGGACCACGGGATGCCCAGGGAATAGCACCATCGCACCATGATGGCATCCCCAGGTGAGTGCCAGCCTGCAAGGGACCCACCCCCCCCCCAGTGGACACCCAGAGGGGGCTCTGAGCCCACACGTCCCAGTTCACATGCAAAGAGGACCTCAGATTGCTGCCAAGCCTCTCCTACTTCCTCCCCAGACACCCACAGAGCAGGAAAAAAAAGCAGCCACATCACCCCCCACATTGATGCAGAGGGTGTGGAGGGGTCATTCTTTTTCTTCTTTTTTTTTTTTTCCTTTCTACATTTTATTATCTCAAATCACGTGAACAATTCGGAAAAACATCCCGTGGGAAAAGCAGGAGCTGAGAGAGAGGGGGGGGGAGGGAGGGCAGCTCCGTACAGCAGGGTCTGCCCCCCGGCACAGCTAGCCCTACCTGCTAGGCCCTACTAGAGAGGGGCAGGGGGGCACCAGCCCTCTCCCCCCAGCCCGGCGCCAGACAAAGGGGACCCCCCTGCAAGGCACACGGTTTCGGCATTACCTGCACGAAGACGACGCGACCACTTAGCACTTGACGCTTTTAAATAGTTTCTTAAAAAGGTTTCTTTAAAAAGCAACGTAAACCAAGCTTGGTGTGTGTGTGTGTGTGTGTGTGTAGGTGTGTGTGTGTGTGTGTGGCCTTTTCTTTTTTTTTCTTTTTTTTTTTTTTTCTTTTCTGGTTATTAAAAGGAATGTTTTCGGTCGTGTTTCTGGGGGGGTCCCATCGCCGGCCCCTGCGATGCCGGGAGCGCCGTGCCCCCTGCAAACACGTTTTGGATGTAAACGGTGCGGAACCGAATAAAAAGGAGAGACTGGGGAGATGGCGACCGGTTACAAACCAAGAGAGAAATCCTCCTGTCCCCAGCCTGGAAGGCAAAGGGATGCGGGGGGACACCGGAGGCAAGTGGGGACAGCCCTGGGTCAGGCCTTGCAGGCAGTGCGTCCCCATCGCTGCCACCACGGCCGTCACCAAAACGTCTCTTTAGAGGGTTGGGGGATGAAACCAGAGGAGAAGCAGAATCACCAGGCACGGTCCTCTCTTCATCGGTGCGCCCTAGGAGAGAGCAAGCCGTGAGCGGGATGGGTACGGGGAGAGGGGAGGTGGTGGGCAGCAGGATGGGGATGGCACTCGCGGGTCTTGGAGGGGCCCCGTGCCCACCTTGCCGCCCTCAGAAGAGCCCGCAGTCCTTCAGATTGTTTTTGATGATGACGTCAGTGACGGCATCAAAGACAAACTGCACGTTCTTGGTGTCGGTGGCACAGGTGAAGTGTGTGTAGATCTCCTTGGTGTCCTTCCGCTTGTTCAGGTCCTCGAACTTGCTCTGGATGTAGCCGGCGGCCTCGTCGTACTTGTTGGCACCTGGGGAGGGAGAGATGATGCTGGGGATGTGCCACGGCCCCCCAGGCCCCAAAGCCTCCCACAGAACTGCCTCACTAATCTAGCCAAGTGGTCATGCAGGGATACAGCTCACCTAAATGCCACCAGCCCAAGTACCACGGCAGGGCACAGTAACCGCCATGCTCACAAGGTGCACAGTGCAGCCCCAGGGCTCCCTCTCTGCCCATCCCCATCTCAGCCTCCACGGCTTCCTAAGCCTCTTATTCTTCTCATCACTTCTGCTTTATCCACACATTGCCTTAAGAGCATGTCCAGGTGCAGCCTGGGCATCCCATAAGCCTCAAATTAGGGCTGCTCCTGACCCAGCTGCTCCACTCCTTCCCAAGCCCTCCCCTGTCCCCACAGCACCCCAAGTGCCACCCAACTCCAAAGTGCAATGGTCAACCCTCTGCCCCAAGCTGCACTACGTTCAAAGTGCAATGACCACCGCAGGACCCACACCTCAGGGCCACCCAACCAGTCCTAAGGATTCCCTGCAAGGAGTCCCAGAGGTTGCTGAAACAGGGACCCCGCACTCAGAGCCAACAGAGCCACTGTTCCCATTGCCATTCTCCCCTAGAACCTCAAGGCAAGGGGATGCAGCAGATGAAGCCCAGAAAGGGCCAGCACATGTGCACCTGTGTACTCCGGGAAGCAGATGGTCAGGGGGCTGTGCACAATCTTCTCCTCGAAGAGGTCCTTCTTGTTGAGGAAGAGGATGATGGACGTATCTGTGAACCACTTGTTGTTGCAGATGCTGTCAAATAGCTTCATGCTCTCGTGCATCCGGTTCTATGAGAGGAAGGGCACGGCATCAGGCAGGTGGTGCTGCCACTCCATGAGCCACTGGCCTTGGAACCGGGCACTGGGCACCCCACACTGCTGCACCAAGCCAGCAGCCACCACAGCGGGGTAGTGAGTCACTGCCAGCAGCATGGGGTAGGGATCCCCTGGAGCACCCTAAACCCGAACTTCCACCCCCTCGCTCACCATCTCCTCGTCTTCTGCCAGCACCAGGTCATAGGCACTCAGGGCCACGCAGAAAATGATGGCTGTCACCCCCTCGAAGCAGTGGATCCACTTCTTCCTCTCTGAGCGCTGGCCGCCCACATCGAACATCCTGCAGGGCAATGGCAGCCTGGGTCAACAGCACCCCAACTCCTGCACCTCCAGCCCTGCCTCATTTCCCCCAGCAGAGCTGGGTGATGCCTCCCACTGAAGCGCTGCCATCGTGTACCACCAGTGCTGGGCTGGGGATGCACAGATGGGATTATGGAGGATAATGTGAGCCATGTGTCTCTCCCTCTGTGGGCACCAGAGGATGCCCAGGCTCCGCAGAGCACCACATCCTCAGGGATGGATTTTCCTGACTCCTGTCCCTCCGCTCGCCTGCTGGGGAGGTTGTGTCCCCCAGGGCCACCCTGCCCACCCCTGCCACAACCTCCAAAGCCCTGGGTGAGCACTGAGAGGTGCTGTGCAGCCTTGCTTGGCCAACCCCGACCTCCACCACCAGCAGCCGCTCAGCACCAGGGCTGGCGCACAGAGGGTTTGCAGCCAGACCTACTTGAAGTGCAGGTCCTTGAAGGTGAAGTGGGTCTCCACGATGCCGGTGGTCTTCACCCGGGTGCGCAGCACATCCTGCTGGGTGGGGATGTAGTCGGCCCGCGCTATCCTTTCCAGGTCGTTCAGGTAGCTGGAGAGGAGGGCAGGACGGCATCAAGTTGGGGGGAGGGGGGAATGCTAGGGCTGAGCCAAGACACCAAGCCAGGCGTCTCCATGAGACCCCAGCACCGGTGACACAGGGCCTGCAGAGCCCAGCAGGTGACGTGGCCCAGGGGACCGTGCCCGCACCGCCATGACGCTCCCAGCCCAGGGAAACGGAAGGAGGAAAGCATTCATCACCACGACAACGGGCCGCGGCCCAGCGGAAACCGCTGCTGGCACTGCGCCTCCGCAGTCACACGCACACAAAGGGCCGGTCCTGCAGGAAGCGGCGCAGGGCTCGGCCACGGACAGCCCGTGCCCCCGGCAGCTGTAATCAGCGCGGCTCCACTTAATTGGGTTACTGTAAGCAGGCCGCCCTCTGCACAGGGCTGTAATCCAGAGAGCGCCGTGCCGATGGAGCGCGGGGACGCGGCTACGGGAGACGCCGAGCATTGGACGTGGGGACCCCAGGGAGGGCGTGGGGCAGCACGGCGGTGACACGGCTGGACCACACCTCCACAGCGAGCTCAAAAACAGCCGGAAATCACCCGGCTCACGGCTGCCACAAAAACAGGAAGCGAGCGGCGGGGAGGCAGGGCTGGGCTCGGACCTCGGCCTCGGTGTCAGCGAGGGGAAGGCACACGGCTCCCCATCCATCACCCGGGCACAGCGCAGGGCATCGCCCCGACCGCTGGATGCGGGCACTGAGCAACGCTTGTCCTTCGTGCTGCTGGGACAGCCAGAGGGATGCCCTTCCCAAAGGGCATCACCGCCCCATGTGGGACCACGACGGACACCAGGCTCCAAAAGCTCACAGCTGAGCTCCTCCGGCAGCCGCTTTCAGGCATCGTTTTCCCAATGCAGAAAAGCGATCGTGCTTTAGGCAGATTAACTTATTTATTAAATCTTGTTGGGGATAAACCGAACCAGATGCAGGCAATTTACTTCTCCAAGCACTAGCTTGCCAGCTCTTACGCCAGCAGAATGCCGATTTCTGCCACATAAACTCATTTGAAAACGATAAAACAACAAAGCAAGCGGTCTTGAGTGCTACGCTCAGAACAAGCATCCCCATTTTTTATTGGGAATATCTCCCTGCATGGATAGGACAAGGAGGAATGGCATTACGCTCAAAGAAGTGAGATGTAGGTGAGATGTTAGGGGGAAATCAGAGGGTGGTGAGGCGCTGGCACTGCTGCCCAGAGCTGTGGGTGCCATCCCTGGAGGTGCCCCAGGCCATGGAGGGGTCCTGGGCAGCCTGGGCTGGGGGGCAGCCAGACCATGGCAGGGGTGGGGCTGGATGATCTTTAAGGACCCTCCAACCTAAGCCATTCTATGATTCTATGATACACATTCCCCATTCAGACAAGCATTCATGGGGCTGGGGTCGAGAGCTGCCTGCAGTCCCCATCAATCCTGTTCATTGAACCAAACAGGGGGGGAAAAATAAATAAATAAAAGGAAAAAAACTACACAGAAAGAAATCCAGCACCAGTTATCTTCTTGCAAGAGGAGAACAGCATCCATGCAAAGAAGACCCATGCCCAGCATGGAGGGGCTCCTGCCTTTATGGAGGGTCCCAGCTTGGATGCTGCACACCTGAAGGAGCACTGCCCTGATGCTAACATCACAGAACGGCTCCATAGCATAGTAACAGGTTG